TGCCGGGGCGGCAGATTGTTGTTGGCGACGACCACTTGCTCTCCCACGACCACGTTTTGCAGGCGAAGGAGCCATTTGGTTCGCACTTAGAGGCCGAGCACATACTCCTTTGACCATCGCGCCTTACCTGTTATTTGAGCCATCGCTTCAAGCAGGTGAGACCCTGCTGGATGTCAACAACGAAACACGACTACCTATATAAGCATCAGCGAAACCATGTACCTCAATCGATGAAGTTGGCTCTGTAAACACCTATCGTGGGATATTTATTCTTTGCAACTGAATCAAAGTAGATTTCAGTTGCTGCAATGAATTATTCAATTACGAATTAACTTCTGAAGCCAGAGCTCTTGGAGTAGGATTTTTGCCTTGAAGAGGGTTCAACAGGCCAAGCGGTTCATATTGCCGCGATCTTACCGAGAGAATCTTCCGTTTTGTCGCTCTAAGATCCATGAATGAATCGATTAGCTTGAATTGAAAAGCATCTTCATTCGGCAAGCACATCACGCCAAGTGTTTGGTTGGGTGTGATGACTCGCTAATCTCACTAAACTTTGTTAAACAGGCGCAGTGCTATAAGTTACAGTATTTAACGCGAAAACCCTCAAAGAGTCAAATGTCTTCTTTCTCCACACTACGAGCTGCAAATTTCAATCTGCTTCATGCACCTGCCTATACATCGTTTTGATGAGAACTGTCAATGCATATTTGTGGAGTTTAAATCAAAGCAGAGTCAAATATAACTGTAGATGTGCTTTGTGGTCTTAAAACACACTGATGCGGAATGAAGTAGTGTAGGATCAGTACTTGGAATCTGATCTTCTATTTCAGACGTAACCCAACGATAAATATTTTTTCATGGATTCCAAGTACAAACGATTAAGCTAGCGATCTCGACACAAGCGTCTTTCAAGCGAAAAAAACTTCGCTTAGCAACTTCGAAGGAGTTACCAATCTGATTGGGATTGGGTCATTGCCTCACGGCAATATTTTCAAATTGTCTACTGTGGCTCTCACATAACTGCTGTTCAAATGTTCGGACTTTTTTGGCTGAAGGCAACCCTTTCAATGATTTAAACGACGCAGAAGAATGGTTTTTGAGGTATAAGACTCTTCTTGACAAATTAGATTGCCAGCATGGGTCTGCTCACGATTTGTCGGCATGTAATGTCATGAGGCTATCCATCTAAAGTCTTTTGTAGCACACAATTCGGATCTTCCTCTGACCTACAGAGAGAAGTGGCTTGTGAAAATATGGATCAGCCAATTCCAGGTTTTCAGGAACTTGCCAACTACTGTCATTGATCGCATGGTCAAGTTGGTAATTCGATATGGTCTTTAACATCCACAGATCTAACAATTTTTTTTATTGCTGGAGTGATACATTGAGCAATCCGAAGAAGCTGATACTAGCCTCTTCTCTACGCAGCTGCAATAGTTTCGCTAGATTGTCTGTTACAAAATTAATTTGTGAACCTGAATCGAGTACAACTCTGGCCACAATGAACTCGCCACTTCTACACTATCAAAAACATTCGCATGCGTATCATGCGAAGTCGACGGTTGATCACGGGGTGATGATAACGCTCAAGTGTTGGAAGCGGGAGAGAATCTATACGACAGTGTGTGGTGCGAACGACTGCAGTGTGCCTCTATCGAAGGCAATTGATGCATAAAGGAGCCGCCATAGCGAACTAAAACAGCTGCTGTACTGGTAATGCGGCATATGCGGATCAATTCAGAATTGAATGGCCTTCGGAACCGCTATATACACATTTGGGGATCACATGATCGTTTCTTACACCAGCCACAGAACACGAAAACGAGCCTTGATTATTATTTTTGGAAACAGTCTTTGACGATGGTGAATGTGATCACCTATTGACAGAACCGATCCATGGATGGCGGAGACAATATAAATCATAGATCTTAATGTTGTGCTATTTTTGGCAGGCTAGACATCCGAAAAATTTTCATAAAATATTAGACATTGATTGTCGTATTTATAACTGTCCTCGGTGACTTGAAACGCTCTAACAGTGCATAAAGCTTCACCAGAGAAACATGTTCGAATTTCTCTATACTCGGAATCGCATGATCATTATGAAAAAGACTTTCGAGCAGGCTACTATAACTCTTGAAGTCAAATTCTTTTCCACTAAACTTGAGAAGTGCCAGATGCAGAAGACGTGTGCGTGGAGCCTGAGGGCGTTGCAGGACTTAATGACTTTATAACGGACTTTAAACGAGTTTTTTTCCTTATACAGAGTTCTTTTAGCTCGCCACGTTAATCATCATTTGTCAAAAGTTTCTACTCGAGTCTGATAGTTTAACGTTGTATCTTATGTGAGGCCAGCTTTTCTAATCTACATTCTAACTCTGTATATTCTAGGTTTAATTTTTGCGTTTAACAAACGCATTAGGCTTTTAATATACATATTGCGATTCTTTCTTGAATCGTCCAAACATTCTTTAGTTGCTTTATTTGAATCCTAACTCAATTTAATAATTAATTATTGAAATTAAAAATCGAATTTGCTTTATATATCAACTACGTCAAGTTAATTTTAGGCGTGCACGCTGTGTGCCAAACGACTCCAAAAAAGTGATATGACTGATTAATAGAGTAAGGTAGTGGGTGTCTCTTGACCGAAACGCGCCAACGAAAAATGCGAACAATAACAATTGCACAGCCCCCTCTAAGCACATAGAACGAAAATAAGCGGACTGCAGATGGTTTGCTATGTACGTGTGTATGTATGCGTGCACTACACTTATATACCAGCGCTTAGTCTGTAACAACGGTTAATTTAAGTGGCAATACTTGGGAAACGACAACGACTAAGCCAAATGAAATTGTAATGACCATTAACTTTTGACAATTAATTAACATTGCTTCAGAAGCACTAAAGATCGCAGAAATAATATATTTTATATTGATCGCCAAGCCGGTTACTTACTGCATGCAAATTTCATTTACATATGTGTCAATTCTGACTTAGCGTAATCCAATGAGCGAGCATGTTCACTTAGAGAGAGAGACCGTACTTATGCATATATGGTTATATTAAAGTATCAATGCACGATTAGTTATGTACTTACTCATTGGTATGTGGTATGTATGGTTAGCGGTAACGCCGTAAGACAGGCATCCGTCAAGTGGATGAGCATATTGCATTTGATCGTGTCACTGACTTGCGTTTATATTTTAACTATATCTATTTTTGTCAATGGTAATGAATATTCAATGTTTATTCAACAAAGCGTATGCTAAAAAATAATACAGAACAATATGTCTACAAAAACTATTCAAATTGTGAGAGAATCATGTTTTAGTTATTTAATCTTTGCGCACAATAGGCCAAATAGCATACATGCTTGATGAACGATCAAGAAATAAGCTTAGCCCAAAATTAAAACGATGTATTATCAAAGGGTATTGTGTTGATGCTTAAGCCTACAGGCTGTTTGACCCTGAAGCCAAAACTGCACTCAGGAGTCGCTGTATGATTACACACCTATTTGACATAAGCCCAGAGGCAGAGTTCGCCAATAATGAGAGCATCGTCGAATATGCACCAGAGGATCAGCATATTGTAATGGGCTCTCTGGTGGCTCGAATCGAATCAGTATGAACCTAAATTGCATATGAATTCATTGCATAACCCGTAGCTTCTTCGTAGGCTTGCAGGAGATTTAAAGGCACGAATTATTACAGGGATGAGCTATATTTTTAACCGCGCTATTTAGACGCTAAGGAACTGCAAGACGTTTTAGTTAGACGTTGACGGCAAGGTGGCTGCGGTGACCCCGCAGCTGTGGCGGTATTTCATTCCGACCATAATGTTGGCCACTATAAAAGATAAAGACCCACTCTGTTCAGTTTTTTACAAGCTCACAAGACTGCTCCCCAGAGTTCAACAGCTCCGAAGTAATGCAATGAAAGACGCTAGTAATTTGAAGTTCCGTACATGCAGCCGCTATTTTCAATAAATTACGACTCAGATTGGGGATAAATATATATGTATATATTGTTTCAATCTGCGATGAAATTACTTTTTTGACTTCTCCCCCACAAACAGAAAGATTTGTGAATTTTAGAGGAAGAATTGCTGTGGCGCCGCTCAACAGTCTTTGTGCCTGTAAAGGTCAGGGAGGCCCGCTTCGAAATGCGCCCAGCCGCCTGTATGCCAAAGAATAGATACCACAATTTTAGATATTCATTTTCAACCAGTTCCCGGCGGTGTAAAATTTAAGTCGTCTAGTATTATCTAGAACCCAAAATAAAGAACCAATAGTTGGAATTAATGCATTCCGCCTTGTGGTTAGAATCATGATGCCAAAAAAATAACTATTGACCCCTGTTTACCATCTAAGGACAAAGGATTTCGCAAAAATCATTTCAAATAAATGTTAAAAAAAATCTCTGAAAATGGGTTAGAAGCCGAGTGGTTGGTAAAAAAAAAAAGTAATAAATTTTCCAACAAATTACCATAGAAGCGATGGAATTTCCAAAATCGCAGAAATACGCATTCATTTAGTTCTTAAAATAGGCTTTGAAAATAAGTTTTAAGCAAAACAGACAAAACTTCGCCAAAATAAGCTTTTAATCGCATATTTCACGGATTTAAAAAAAAAAAAACGGGAAACAGGTCTCAAATTATTTTTCGTAAAGAACTGTGGAAATCTGTGTCTGTGAGGACAAACAGTTTTATATAGAGATGAGATTCGGCCATGGTTGCTGACAAGTTGAACCTAGATTAAAAGATACCAGCATCTAAATACTAGAGTTGTGTCGTTAAGTTCAGACCAAGTTCGATGGAACGAGACATCAAAATAAACTACCATATTCAGTGATTAGAAACTGAACGAGCGAACTTATTCAGCAAATTGAACTAGAAATCCCCACACTACTAAATACTAAGCAAGTAGTTTGCTATTAGACTAAAATTAACTATAATTGCCTGTAACTGTATTAACAAAATGGTGATCCGTTTTTTGTTATGTTTTTATGCATAAAAATATTTTTTTATTATGGAGAACCTCTTATTTTATTGATAATGCTTATTGTTGGAAGGGCCAAACGTGAAGTTGTTTACTGGATCTCCAAGTGCAGCTGGATCTTCAGTTGGTGGCGAAGGATTTTTGAATTGGTCAGCAGATATTCTTGTAAATAATATTCCAACACCTTCAATAAGAGCCAATAAAACTCCTCCTATAATGGCACTTCCAGCCATTGCAGGAATACCTGAAAATAAAATTAATAATATTTATATATTTTCAAATGCGTATTAATCAGACAGATATCTTTTTTACATTTTTATTTTTAAGGCTTTTATATTTTAATCGCATTTATGGTTATAAGGTACAATAACACAACCGACGGAAGCTGTAAAGCGGCCGGGTTGTTACACTATTTAATAATGAATGGAATATTGTGGTGACCAGATACATGAGACATACCCAAGTATAGGTCGTACCAAAGTTTTATAAAGGATCTTTGTCGTGTACGGATCGTCAAATTCCTTCGACCATCGCTTGATGAAACCCAATAAAATTCTGGCCTTATTGACCACGGTGCATGAGAGTAGAATTTAAATTTATGATTAAGAATGACACATAGATCTAACCTAGACCTAACTTGATTAGAAGTACTGTTAACACAAGACTGAAAAGAATCAATGTCGGCTTGTAAAAGATAACATTATGCCATATCTTTGCCACATCATCAGCACACATTAAAACTCGAAAGTGATACGGTATCGAGGGAAGAGTAAAGAGTAGAGGGCCAAGATGACTACCTTGAGGAACACCGCAAGTCACCAGAATATGTTTAGAAGACGAAAGAACCCTTTGGGTGTTGTTAGCTAATACTTTAAGTTCCAGTTCAAAGGTTGGACTGGGAAGACGAGAAAGCATAATTTATAAAGCAGTAAGTTGTGCTTAACAGAGTCGAAAGCCTTACTGAAATCAGTATAGGTGACGTCAGTCAGTATATTTTACTCTAAATCAGTCGACCCATCTGTTGTGGCACGGTGTCAATATGGGGTCTATGGTTTTTAAGCTACTTTTACAAAAAAAACAAGTAAGAGGTTCTGGTCGGGGGCTCCCGACTAGGGGAAACTCTGAACTCTTTTTTTCCAACATCAAATGCATATTTATATTCTATTTTAGAAGCTTTATGTCAAGTTTGGTTACTCTAGCTCTTATTATTTACCAAAATGGCCCAAAAAAACAAGATATCGATATCGATTGCTTGGAAACGGAGTAAGTTATCGATAATCGGAAACAAACTCGATCTGCGCAGGCACTAGGAGCACCTACATCTAAAATTTCAAGTCTCTAGCTCTTATAGGTTCTGAGATCCTTGCGTTCATACATACGGACGGACGGACAGACGGGCATGGCTAGATCGACTCGGCTATTGATGCTGATCAAGAATATATATACTTTATGGGGTCGGAGATGCTTCCTTCTGCCTGTTACATACATTTGGATTTTGCACAAATACAATATTCCCTTATACACATTATTAATGGGTTCAGGGTATAAAAAAAAAAGTCTATCATTCACCCTTAAGGCTTACATTTTCCATTAAAATATTACTTCTAGTAAATCGCAACATAAAAGGCACCATTGCGTAATCTTCTCAACATGCCTGCAGAAAAGGCAGAACTATGGAAATAGCACTGCGTTCCGTAACCGCAACTACGGTATTTCTTTAAAACTTCTTTCTTAATATAAAAGCTTTATTTTTCAGATGCAGAATAGAGATTGTGAAGGCAGCATTGGAATCATTGCACATTTCCTGATTTTTTCGCGATGGGGAAATCCGATTTTTTTTTTAATGTCGCTGATATGGATGTAGATTTTGTGATTGCTGCAGCTACAAGTTAGGAATCTATTTGCCAGACTGAGCGTTCACCTTTAGATAAGTATTATAAAGAAAGTTCACTGGAAAATGAATGTGGAATTGGAACAATATAGCCTCTTACATTAATCACCTAAAGTGTAGAAAATAATAGAAAATTGGGTATGGCATTTAATATTTTATTCTCACTCTCTTCTAGTTTCTAGTCTTTAAAAAAGACATCTCTTAAGTATATCAACAGTTCCAATAAAAAATCTTACACAAAAGTCCTCAAGGAATCTATTTACTTACATTCAACCCATCGTCGCTCCTTCTGACGGTAACTGGCATTTTGCATTAGCATTAAGAAACGTGAGTAAGTAATGCGAAGTAGATAAATGCCAGATGAAATGTGTATAAACAAAAATGCCAAAATATAAAACTCCCAAAACGAAATGTTTTAATATTTTATACACCTCGTTACAGAGGTGTATCATATCTGTATGGCTCAATCGGTTACCTCACAGAAGACAGCACACCGTGCACATTACTAATGTTACAAATAGTGGGCGAAATTGAATTTGATAATCGGTCCTACAAGAAAGCACATACATAAAAATACATAAGCAACAAAATACATATAGAAATTAACTAAGTGATCGTAATGTGTTCAAAGTAGTTTCCCAATCCGCAATCTCAGAAACTCGGAACAAAATCTCCTATAATAAACAAACCGAAAGCAGTTTCACGCTGCATACGGCATAAGATTAAAAAGAGCGAAGATAAGATAAGTCGGTTTTTCCGCACCACCTACAACAAATTCTTAGAAGTCGGATTTGTTTATGGCATAGTGAAAAAAATGTTTCCTGTTTTTAACTAAGTGCTCTGCTTAACTTTCAGCTGAAACTGTAGTTGAAAGTTTTATCAAACGGACATTGTTATCTTCTGAATCTAGATTCTCGTCATTTCCCATTAATGTTTAAAACATTTAATTGAGAATTTTTTTCTGGCAATCTTAATACTTGAAATTTACCATCTACTATTTCTTGATTTTCAACATTTTTTGCCTGTACTGCATGCTGCAGGTCACTATCATCTAAGCTATTATATTTCCTGCGATTGCTCTCGATTAACTCAAGATTTTGGCCAGAAAACGATTCACAGTCTCTCGCTACTGGTTTTACATTTGCATCAATCAATGTGACATACAACATTACTAGTTCTCGAAAATATTTCCTCCTATCAGTATAAATATTAAATCACCTAAACCTAATTATACTAAGAGTGTACCTCTTCTTAAAGAAACCACTACCATCGCGTAATCTAATTGCTGGGAAGCCCAAGGTGTTTCAATGTCATTAGCATCATCTACTTATTGGCATGTACCACTATGCCGTTTGCTAAAAATATATAAAGCAGTAAAAACAGCTAGGCATAAACTATCGAAAGCGTCTGGGCGCTGTACATAATGGTCTATAAGTCCTATTGCCAATATTACTTCTGAGTCATCGGGTAAGTATCGCAACTTTTGCCTAGAGTTCGTTAACCCAACCCGATGCTCAGGCAATGAGTTATTGAAAAAGGCATAACTAAACAGCAGTAAATGGCTTCCTAGGTAGATATTTCCCTACCCAAAATAAACATATGACCTATATACTCTAACTTTTGCTTTAAAGTTGCATTTCCCCTGCTAATCACACTTACAGCCTCACACATTAGCTTTGAAGTGACGGAACTGCAGCAAGCATAGGGAACTAATAAAAACTGGATATCTACATTGGCACGCTGCAGTAGAAGGTGAGAATTATAAAAGTTAAGCTTTATTGCTGCGAATAAATGATGCTTTAATGCTGAATGTTGATTTAAATATTTTTTGGGTTTTTGAATGCTCGGTCTTAGTGCATTTATATAGCATTAATACTTTATTGAAATTGATAATGTAATCTACAGGATCAAACGGATACTCTAAAATGCCTTAAACTTTTTCGAAATTGTTTCTTTATTTTCAGCATCGTATTCGATTGGGAATAGATTTTCTGTTTGGGGCATGGGAGAGTATGGAATACCAAATCTACATATTGTGCGGGGAGCCTCTTTGCTGAAACTTGCGAGGCGGCTATTTAAGTCAGTCCCCCATAGTTTTGAGCCCACGGCAAGGAGCCGTCGTTTGCATCGCCAACGTCATGGCAAGGAGCCACTGGCAGTATTATTTGATCGTTTTTTTAGTTCATAAGCATCAATTGTATTAGTACAAGGCAGTAGATTTGTAAGAGGCAAGACGCCGACAAGATAGTAGATTTGTAAGAGGCGATAAGCCGCCGATATAATTAATTTAAGTTAAATTAAAAGGCAAGGTGCCGTTAACCGCATAGTCCGTGTATTACTAGAATAAGTGCATAGTTATGGGCAAGTAGCCTTCAATATTTGAATTTAACCGCCGGCCGCTGCAGCAACCGTGCGTTGCTGATCGGTTGCTAAACACCGCCTGCGAGAGCGAAACTTCGATTCGGCAGCGAAGAGCGAAAACTCCGAAGCGAAGTTGCGAAAGCTCGTGGCGAAGCTGAAGCAAGCGCACGGCTAACGAGCGAGCCGGCACTTTTCGATTGAGCACCGAGGTGAGTACTTGTGTCAGCGAGAGAACGAGAAAAGGGAAACTTAGAGTGTACAGTGTGGCAGGGCCTTAGCTTAGTGAAATCGTGTAGGAAGCTAGCAATGAAAGTCGATTAGTTCTTTATATTTTCTACTAACCTTAACCTCGAGCACCAGAGTAACTCGTGTTTAACCTAACCTCTCCCCATAACCTAGTGTCCCGTGTATGTGTGGATGGTAACTTAAGCTGCCGACCGCGTGAGCAATTCCGCCAGTACATGGGGGAACAGGGGCTTAGCCCTGCGACCGCGCGAGCAATCCCGGCCGTGTGTGTGTGAATCGGGGCTTAGTTTGAGGGCCGTGTGAGCAATCTCGGCCATGCGTATGTGGTTCCCTCTTTACCCTATGAAATGGTTGAAGTCATAGTTTATTTGAAGCACCTCCTCTCCACTCTAAACCCACCATCACAGTAAACTTACAATTGTTTTGTAGATTACTGGTCCTGGTAAGGATGAGATTTGTACCCCGGCCAGTAGCTTCCTTACAAACTCAAATCGCCAACAATACTTAATAGGCCTGTGATTGCCAAAATCACTGCCTCCCTGTTACAAAATACCTAGCGTAAGTGACAGGGTCAGCTGTAATAAGACGGGCTTTATTGTCAAAACCTAAATCAGCAGCTAATTCTTAAAAAATCCAATCCGTCTAATCATCTGATACCCTCTTATTTTTGCTTCCCAATGAGCAGCTGAATTGAAAGGACGACAACCATTGTTCGTTAATAGTAATTTGATGCTTTCTGCAAAGGCGTTAAGCCTTTCAAACCATCTGTCAGATCGGGAAAATCTATGCCATTCGGAATAGAAGCCTTTGTTTTTTGCCTAATTTAATGCAACGACTACTTTTTTGTGCAAAAGCTATAATTATTATTGACAGAAGAAAAAATAGAGGATAGATATAAAATATCTGAGCTTACTTCTGCACTACACTTGCTTTCAATAACCTGACAACATCTATTGGTGTCAAAAATGTCCTGACGTGATTGAATTCGAGCACTTCGCCTTACACTTGTGTTACGTGTTTGCTGAATTACACGAATTGGAATTTCTCTAACCTGTAACTTTTGATTTATATCTCTAGCTCTTGCTAACCCTGTAAACTGGGCCTTGTCTGTCAAAACTGACATTTTTTCACCTAGGTATTTTATATAATTTTTAAAATTTTAATAAAAATATAATTTAGTAAAATTAGTAATTTAAAATAATAGTTTGATTACTGAAAATTCTAACAATTAAATTAAAAATGTTATATAATATTTTTAAAATTTTATAAATAATAATACATTTTAACACATATATTTTATTTACCTATTTATTAATGGTCGACAAAAACGAGTGTGAATGCCTCAAATTATTGATATTTAATGCTAAAGCCTAATTAGAATACACTACTTTCTAATAGCATCACCGACCGAATGCCCGTCCTGCCAGTTATGCCTCTTTTCACAGCTAATTTTGTCAGTGACGCTATTAGACCCAACAGCTAAGAAGAAGGGTATTGGTAGATAAAATAGTGTTTTAAGTAAAAATTAATAAAAAAAAAAAAAGGAAGAAAGAAGTAGATGTACATATCAAAATGCGTACTCTTAAGATAATATTATGCTCTTAGATTGCCGCATAATTTTAGCAATATATATTAATATCAATATTAATTGTTTATAAACAAAATTGTATTAATGACGCTCGGCGATTTAAAGTGACAGTATATTTATGTCTAGGCTTAAGCCCAGAAGGTACGTATGTATGTGTGCAAACAAATAAATGTATTCTCTTAGGTTTTATAAACATACATATGTTTGAGTAAGAAAATGAGTATTGATTACACCAACTGATGTTAACCATAAATACGCATTGAATATTGTTAATATATAATAGTTAAAAATATATGAAGATTTTTTATATATATATACTATTCAAGAAGCTACATGTCAAGCCTAACCCCAGCTCTTAAAACTAGGAGATTTGCTTACTAATCGGGATATCGATATCGATTTTCATCGATTGCTTGCAAACGGGGAAAGTTATTGCACTGCGCGCGCACTAGGAGGACCTGCATTCCAAATTGCAAGTCTCTAACTCTTATAGGTTCAGATATCCTTGCGTTCATACATATGGATGGCTAGATCGACTCGGCTGTTGATACTGATCAAGAATATGTATACTTTATGGAGTCGAATATGTCTCCCTGTGCCTGTTACATACGTTTGTACAAATACATTATTCCCGTTTTACCTATTTTCTATGGGCTTAGGGTCTAAAAATAAAATAGCAAATCGGATAAAATTGTATTATATATATATAAACTCATATTTTTATCTGACTTTAATTCACGGACGGGCAGCAAATTCTTCGCAAACCAATTATACTCATTCATTTTTAATAAGAAAAGATATACAAATGGTATCGTATCTATAAATTTTATGCTTTGCAGTGAAGATTTTTAAAATTAATATTATGTTTACACTTCTTTCCGGTCCATGAAACATTTGTAAATTCGATTGTTGCTGTATTATCAAGATAGCAATACATCACAAATTCATGTCTGAACAGCCTGTATTTAATACATTTGTTAATGGCTTACCATTTCTAGCTGCTAAGATTCCTCCTGTTGCAGCACCGCTTATAATTGAATTCCATGGGTCTTCCTTTTTTCGGATATGTACCAAGGTGCAGTCAATTGTACTAAACATTCCTCCCCAAATCGCAAAATTTCCCGCTATTACGGGTGATCGAGTTTTTATTGCAGCCACACTTCCGATCTATAGAAAACATTTTTATTAAAATCACACAAAGGATATGGCGACAGATTATAATTACTAACAACTCGGCTACTTATAGTTTATATTCCACACGGGACTTATCCTACTTGTGTGCTTTATCGATTGTGTTTCGCATTTACCCTCTTACCTTTTATATTTATTTTTTTTTTTAATAGACTTTCTTTTCTTTTCTATGGATACAACTATCCCTTTTTGTTTTCCCTTAGCACTTCTTAAAGCCTATGCCCTTTTCAGCTACTATTCCGTATATTCCGTTTAGATAGTCTTCGGGATCACAATTAAATGGATTGCTTTTTTAATGCTGGCGCATACGATTTTTTAATTGAAAATCTTGATAAAAATAGTACCTGGATTCGATTCATTGTGATCAGTGTTGGCTGTGTTTGGTTGCAACTGTAAGTCTGCAGACTAAAGAAGATTGTTGATTCCAAGTATTCGTGGATAATATAAATGGGGAACTTAATATCCAGGTTCATATTGTGTAATCGGCTTCAACTTTAAAGGGCGAACTCTCAAGCAATGAAATTAACAAAGAATTTTTTAACATTAAATAAGTAACATCTTCGCGTATTTCAAATTGAAGAACTTCTTAATCGGTTGTTTTAACTGCAAAGGCGCTAAATTTTGGGCATCAAGTAGATAAATGTATGTGGATATCATTATTCTACGTATAGAGATAATAAATGTGAGGAACTTAATATCCAGGGTCATTTTGTGTAATCGGCTTCAACTTTAAAGGACGCACTCTCAATCAATGAAATTAACAAAGAATTTTTTAACGTCTTTCGCGTTTTTCAAATTGAAGAACTTCATAATCGGCTGTGTTAACTCCAAAGACGCTACATTTTGGGCATTTAGTAGATAAATGTATCAATGTATGCCAAAGGACCTTTTCCAGCGGAGTGTTCAAATCCTCCTTAATCTGCCGCTATCATTGCGTTCTGTGCAGTCAATTATTCGGCTAAATATGATCGTCGATTAAGGTAATGATAATGTTGTCCCCTTATACTAATCTGGTTCTCCAAAGATGTATATATGTTGGTAAAATGATGATTCCTACTATGAAAGTCTTGGAAATGTATCAGCAGTTTACTCGTTTGGTGGATGAAAAAGAAGAAAGGGTGAAAGTCATTTGTAAAATATGAAAACTGATTGAAAATTACACATGTTACTGGTACGGCCACGGATAATGTGCACCACAAGGACAAGGGCTCCGATATTCTTCATTGAATCTTTTTAAAAACCATTTTTTTTACTTCAAATGATGTGTAGTTCCATTACAATTTTCATTAACTTTAACTCCATCATCTCATGCAAAGACCTCGATGCTGGGCAGTGCTATTATCTATTCGCCGAGTACTGATTGATCGTTATAAAAACAAACCCGTTGCATGAACTTATAAGAAAAAGCGGAATTTTTATAACATCCTTCACTTCTCGCTATTAAGTGCTAATAAAAAAGCTTGTTAGCCCAACCCCGACGTGATCTTTTTATATAATATTATATTGTTGCATAAAATTATTCAAATTAAAATTGAGCTAGTTGTAGCTAGCTTCGGCAGCAATTAAAAACCGCTCTTATATATATACATATGTTCGAGCAATTGTCATGCGGTAAATTGCAGTAAATAGGAGTTTGTGTACGTACATTAGCATATATACACTTACATACAGACGCGTTGGCATTTTACATGTGTTTTTATTCGACTAACTGTTGCGCGCGCTTAAGAGTACAGTGCTGACAATTAATCAACGGTCAACGAACTTTCGTGTGCAGTTGTAATTCGGTTTTCTTTGACCTTTTTTCGATTTCTTCGGTTGCCATGGAAAGTTCTAGTGCTGAATTGCTGGCGCAGCCAACAGGGTGTCATTTTTAAAGCGCAAGGTGGCGTCCTCGTATGATCGGTTGCAGGCGCTTCAATCTAGCCTTAACCAAACGCCCCTTGCCAAAAATTATGAAATTGCATTTTCGGTGCTGCTCAAGCGGATTAAAAAAAATGGAATCTGCATTCGAAGACGCTCAAAACAAATTGGAAGAACAAGACTTTGACGAAATTGGCAGCTTTGAGTAACTTTGGAGACTTCGGTGCTGTTTGAAATCGCTAAGCGCAGTATAGCATTGCCGTCCAGCTCCACATTTGTAAATGAGACTATTGCTGATGCGTCAATGACTAGATCCAGAGCATTACCGACCTTACCGCCAATCAAATTGCCAACGTTTTTTTGAGGTTATACAGAGTGGTCAGATTTCTTTTTAATGTTCACAACTTTAATCGAAAATCATCCCGAACTCACAAACATTGAAAAAATGCAGCATTTGCGGCTCTCCTTGAAGGACTCTGCGCTGGATACCATTCGGTCATTGGAAATATCAGAGAAATCAGAAATCACATCGTTGAACTGCTGGGGCTCGAGAAGGTAGAGCATGGCTCCGCTGGCATGCTGCGTGAATTGTCGGATAAGTTTAATGCCCATATTCGTGCTCTCACCAGTTTGGGTAGCAAGGAGCAAATTGCTGGTTGCATCCTTCTTCAGGTGCTACTGCAAAAACTGGATCCTGCTACGCAGGCGGAGTGGGAAGAGAAGCTGGAGGATCCCGCCCTTGCAAATTTAATTCCATCATGGGCACAAATTGCCACATTTTTGGAGCAACGCTACAGAACCCTAGAGAGTGTGGATTATGCTATGGCAACCTATACGCCGAGCTCTCATGTGGGCAAGAACAAACAGACTAACCCCAGTAGGACATCACTCGTTGCTACTAACTCAATGGCTGCTGTTTGCGTATTTTGTAATGGCGAAGTGCATAATATATGGCAATGCCCAAGATTTGGCAATTTGCCTCAAAAAATGAGTCTCAAGGAAGCAAAACGGTTATCTTTATGCCTCAACTGCCTTAAAAGGGTTCTTTTACGAACATGCAATTCCGGAACTTGTCGCACATGTGGCTCCAAACACCACACACTTCTGCATTTAGACGTGTTGCATTCGACTCATCACGGTGTCACTCCTACTGCAGCTTCTTCAGCCCCCGCCTCTACCCCTCTTGTTGCCAACAACCTCAGCAGCAATGTTGTGTTCCTGGCCACTTTTATTGTACTAGTTAAAAAGCGGTGTGGGACTCTAGTTCCGTGTCGTGCTGTTTTGGATGGTGGGTCATTAAATTACATCTCGATTCGCTCAACAGCTTCAGTTGAAGAAAAGTCCATCTTCAGCCTTTCATGTATTCGTTGTTCGCCACTTACTTATTAAGTTTTTATGTAAGGCATTGTTTGTTTGAAGAAAATCAGACAAAATTTAAAGCTTCGCTCAAAAAATCTTCTAAGCCTTCCACAGAGGAAGCCTGGGTGTCTGCGAAAGGTAAACGTCTCAACTGATTTTTCGTAAAGAACTTTGACAATGAATTTTAGCGCGAAGTCAGGGAATGATTTTGAAAACTGTGAAATTGCACAAAGATCTCTGAAAATGGATCGGATGGTATACGATTTCGCGATTTTTCCACACTAATGGGCACCTTCTTTGGGCTTTGCGATGCTCAGCTCAGTCGAGAAATGTTCAAAGTTAACTACTTTCGAAAAAGTCTATTTATCTCTAATTCAAAATATAAATATTGAAAATATATTTTCAAGCATATATGTAGCTTAGCTTGTTTGGATTTATGTTCAATAAATAACGGGTTGTAGCTTTGGGTACAAATGCTCCAATGTTGATAGGATTTTTACGATAACTTTAAGGCTGAGAGTAATTTGCATGGCTGTTGATACTGTTCAAGAATATATGTATATAATATTGGGAGTCGCAGATGTCTTATATGCGTTGGACATTTCATGATAATGTTATAATACCCTCTACAACGGTACAGAATCGGATGGGGAAGTTAAGTTTGAACATATGTTTATTAACTTCCTAAGACGTATTCTTAATGATTATATATTACATATAATTATTATATATGTATGTATATATAAATATAAATATATGAAATTTTCACTGAAGTTACACAATTCACATTTTTCGGTAAAGGTATTCCTCCTTGGTGGAAATGGGGGTTAAAGAGATGGTGGATGACGTTTCGTGTTCAAATATTATCTCCAAATATCTATACGAGAAATCATTTGAAATGTATTTCACACTTTTCGCAAAATCGAAACTTCTTCGGTAGAAATGCGAATAAAAAGGGAGCGAATATTATTGAGTGATCATACTAAGTCGTTTCATTCAATTTATTCTATCCAGACTTGTGCCGATAAAGAATTTTGTTTTGCGCCCGCGATCTCCCCATTCACACACATTTGTGTGTGTGTATTAGAGAGCACACAAGCGCATAAATTCTTCTATTCATATACAAAATATGTAAGTATGCGTGAATAGCGAGTCCAAAATATTATAAATGCACACATGCCAACGCTTAGGTACCCTTACCAACGATAACGAGCTAAAATGCAAGATTTTGGCAACGACGTGGCAAACCCTTTCATTATTTCATATTACTCGTCCCTTCAAAAGGGAAGAAAGCCACCGACTTTTGAGAAAAATTGAATTTGTGAACATTTTTTCTTGTGCGGCCAGATAAAACGGTAAATAGACAAATCGAAAGAACACTGAGCCAAAGCAGTTTCCTGTAGTGTAACCGAATAAAAAGGGCAGCGATGCCATTCTATCACAAAAGTCATACATATATTTATATATATATATATATGTATATATTTCTTACTCTCTTGCTGTCTGAGCGTGCGGGCGTGACTCGAACCCGATCAAAAACGAAGGCGACTTTTGACCAGCCGCATATGAAACGCGTGGCCCCAGCATATTACACTGTTTGTCCAGTCTATATGATGTTTGGTTAGTGATATTATCCAGTTGGTTTATTATAACCACAAGATTTGCAAAGCGTTGATGGAGTTATCCGAGATGTTTTCGTTATTTAAACAAACTATTTATAACATCTTCGACGTGTCATTTTTGTTTGTCCCAAAAGTACAACAAACCCTCAAAATGGTTACCGAAATCATAGGCAAAGTAAAGTTTGGCAAGCTTTCGGTAATGGTGTGGGGCTGCATATCGTCGAAAGGTGTTGGTGAGCTGCGCATTTTCAATGATGTGATGACGAAAGAGTTTTACTTGGACATTCTAAAGAATGAATTGTCAAGGAGCGCAATAAAGTTTGGCTTCGAAGACCCTCAAAACCCCAATAAACAGAGGTACAAGCTTTATCAGGACAACGACCCCAAACACAAATCGTTTTTGTGCAGGACTTGGCTACTGTATAATTGCAGCAAAGTCATTGACACCCCTGCCCAGAGTCCTGACTTAAACCCAATTGAAAATTTGTGGGCTTTCCTAAAGAAGCGCTTAACAGAGCCCAACTGATAAAAACGCTCTCATCAAGGCCATTCAAGAAGAATGGATGAAAATACCCGAAATCGATGACCCAAATAACCTTATTCACTCAATGTCACGTCGTCTGCGGGCTGTAATGGATGCTAATGGCCAATATACCAAATATTAGTACCTCCATAGCTATAGTTTCCTAGATTTAGTTATGTATATAGTAATGTTTTGCATTTTGCAAAGAATTAATTGACAGCGCAAAAATTGACTCCTTTTCGTTTTGTCTGTTTTTTTTTACATTTGCCGTTTTGAATTTTGTTATGTTTGTGCCTTATATCTATGAAGAATACTTAGAATAATAATTATATGCAAAAAAAATTGAGAAGAAATAGTTTAAATCGGTAAAATATAAGTTTAAAAATGAATTTGTGTGCTGTTTTTCATTTTGCAAACAATTACTTGACAAACTGTAAGTTGTCAATAGGTTGTTAATACATTTTCTTGACACGATTAAAAATGGATACTTAATTTTTTTGTTTTTTTATGTTGAAGTAAGCAATCTTGAATAGGAATTGTCAATTGATGTGTGAAAACACTGCACCGGGTTTTGCGACAACTCTCATGGCTAGTAAGACTTTTTCAAACAGCATACATTATCCACTGATGTTCTAAACATGTGCCAGTTACTTATCTCGTATTTATTAACGGCTTGAAGAGACTTTGATTGTCACCAGCAAAAATATCACAAAAAAGAATATTGGTAGGCAAAATGCGAGAATTTTTCCATATTACTAATAATTATTGCGTCTGCAGGAAGTAATTAGTGAACCATTGTACAATGTACAAAATGTACATTTAAGCGTTCTTTCTGGTCATTCGTAAGAATTAACTACATTTATTAAATGGCCTTAAATGAGTATTAACACTTTGTCTAGTTTGTATTAATATTTATGCATACCAATCGCTTGTTTAGTCCTGATGGAGCGTTTCGAAAACCTTTAATTGCTTGGAAAACACCACCTCCGATACAACCCATGGCGAATGCACCACCACAATCATCCACAATTCGGTAAGGACATGGTTCGCGTGCATATTCTTCCATTATGACGCTTCTTATCTACAAATACAAACTATTTATTCATACAATTTAAACTACATTAAATATATTACTTAACACATTACAAAAAACTGAATTAGGAGTGCACGATATACATCGATTTTAAAATAAAAATCGATGGTTTCTCGTATCGGAATGATTTTGTATATCGAATAACTCATTATCAACATGTGCATCATGTGCGTCAAATTAGCGGCGGTGACTTAGCGTCGAATATAGCAATCGCTCACTTCTGTATGCTCTTGTTTATCTTATATGTTGCCCACAATCACATAAATTTAAATGCAGAATTGCAAAAAATTTAATTATTCACTATCTACAATAATTTTTTTTTAGTTTTAATATGTGGGTAAGCCAAGGGGTTGAAAAATTAGGTTTCCATCATTCTATATATATCTTAATTTAGGAAAAATGGTCCAAAACACCGCAAATACAAATTAAGGTCATTAAGAAAAAGAACCGTTTATTAATAGTGCTACTTAATAACTTATTTTCAATATACATATAATGTTAAAGTTAAAATTCGGCAGCTGTTTTCGCCGGTGCCGTTGTCGCTGCTGCCGCTGTAGCTGCTGCCAATGTTGTCGCTGTCGTTTCTGTAAGCTTTGTTGTTGTCGTCGTCCGCTGACGCAGCGCACGTGGCAAAGGTGCATGCATTGGGGCCGCGATAACATGGGCACATGTGTATACCTTTTTGGTCAACTTCGCCTTTAACTTACACGATTAAAGCCAATAGTTTAACCCAACCAATCTTTTTAAGATATCTGTACAGCAGTGCAGCAACCTCGTTGCTAACCCCAAATAAAATGAAAAAATAAAAAAAAATAGCCTTGCTCTTGAACCTTAATATCTTTTCTCAGGGATATTGTCCCTAAATGTACATACCATTTTGAAGATACATGTTCTAGAAAGCCTTACACATTAATTCTAAGCAAATAGACCAGACAGTTTTTTAAAAAAATAATAGAATGTAAACACACCTCATGTTGTACATTCAAAAGGCCTATCGAGCTAATAGCTCCAACGGGAACTGAACCACTGGTTGAAATCAGTGCATATGAAGTCAAAATATTTGTATATGGGAAAGAAATGCAGTAATATAATCGACATTTTTAAATAAAAACATTATCTTTACTTAATTAGACAACTGCGAAATAAGGCAACAATGCACTTACATATGTATTTATACACAGTTTAATAACAACAAGTAAGAGGTTCTAGTCAGGAGCTCCCAAATAGGGAACACCCTGAACCCTCTTATTCAAACACCAAATGCAGCTCGAGCCACGCTCAAGTTAACAGGGTTCGAACTCGCAACTCACCGCATTACTTGCCGCCGTCTCTTCTCAACAGTCTCAGCAGCCAAAACAAAAAAAAAAGTTGTATCAACAGGGCTCGAACGCGTGTCGCGTGCTGTTCGCAACACTTGCCATGGCTCTACTTTACAGCCACACCAATAATTAAGTATTATTGAGAAAAAAACGGATTAAAATAGCAGCACAGAAAAGAATCGCAATTGAAATACTGTTGGTATATGTAACTCGAAGCAAACGCGCATAAATGTGTGTGTGTACATGTATAGAGAAATTCTTTCAATGTGCACCCCATCCAATTGAGCAGTAAAGCATAACTTTGTTTATTTTTTTAACCGATCCTAATCCAATTTTCTACAGTATATCTTATTGTACTATAGAATATTTGTGTACTCTCAAAAAGTCAATTACATTAAAATTGTGGCTTAGATTGGTTGGCAATATAAGTTGGGTTATTAACTTGATTTATAGCTCTGCGATGGTAGCGGGGAGGTGGCGATAGGTATAAAATGGAGGATAATTGACATATATATAATATTCTTGAAGCAACATCAAGTTTGGTGACTCTAGCTCTTATTATTTACCCAATTCGCTCATAAAACAGGATGTCACTATTTACGATTTTGTCGATTGCTTTGTTACGGAACTGCTTGTTTCTCGGTGGGTCGCGCCGGCTGGCTCATCGGTTTCTCTGGGTGTAGTCCCATCCCTGGCCCGCAGTCCGCACAATCGATGACAGCAAAGCTAGACGCACTAACCATACAATGTATAGACATACCAAATGGCACTTTTTATGAAAATAAGAAAAATCGAAACGAGGCCACCCCAATGGTATCTGCGACCATTTTAGTGTGCCCAGACTGAGTAAGACTGTTGATAGTGGCAGCTGATCGCCGGCCTCAAAAGCCGAACGTTCAGTATGAAGCCGCACCTCGCTCAGCGCACAACGTCGCGGCTGATGATGCGTTTTCTTAATATATGTATGTATGCCATTTTTAAATCCTTACAGCCCAAAAACATGTGTGTGTATGCATGTGCTTCGCTCATTTCTTTGCGCACTTGCGTCCATCTCTTTCTCCCTCCCCGAGATCTACAAACATTCCTATGATTGTGTTGTGTGGATGTGCGCACAAGTAGATCGCGGCGTTTGTCGCGAGCCATAGGTTATTTGTGGTAGCAATAGGCACTCACATTTAAATGCTCTATCATGTATTTATTCGTCCAATCAGGCATGATGAGAAGAATTTGATCAAATTTTATTTAATACACAATTAATTGACCTAAATGAAATATATTTATTTATTTTCTGTTTACAGTAGGGACCTATTTTGCTTAAAATACAAAAATATTTAAGTCGTATTTCTGCAAGGGTAATTGATCGTCGGCTTGTCGAAGAATTTAAGAAAAACCAAAAATTGACGCACACTCTTTCAAGTAAGCAGTTGTGTGAAATGATTAAAGGGTTTGGCCTGTTCATGTGCAAAATTGCTATTTTCCATGGTGGTTGTAGGGGTAAGGGTACCTGATCGCTGGCATGTGTGCATTATAACTTTTTGGGTCGGCCAACCACGCACACTAACACACTTTTCTATATGGATGGAAGCATTAATGCGTTGTGTGCGTGTTGGTTGCCTGCCTGCCTGCCCGATGCAAATTTGACAAAATTTGAGGTTTTTGGCATTTGTGAATTTCGAGCTCTACACACACACATATACACACTCACAAATGTGTGTGAATGAGCTGATCAAGGGTTTGTCGTGAGGCGGAGATATTTTTATCAATGGGTGCGTAATTTTGGGCGACTGGCACGGTCTTTGTTTTTGTTTTACCAAATGGTATGGATCCAGACGCATGCTATACATTCTGATCGTTAATTGCACGTCATAAGACCCTTTAACCTAAGATTATAATAATGCCAATAAAAGATTACTTGCATTTTTTCCATATCAAAGTCCAAACGAGTGACAAGTGCGATCCACCTGTTTCATTCAAGCCCACTGCAGGCATGCCAAAAAAACAAAAACCGTGCCAGTCGCCCAAAGTTTGGTATGTCTATACATTGTTAGTGCTATACGTCTGTAGCAAAACAGACTTTCACAACACTATGCAAAACGAACCACAAATCGATAACGTCAAACAATCGGAACTTCTAACTCATGAACAAAATAAACAGCTGTAACAACTATAAAAATGTAAACAACAAAGGTGAGACACTCAATATAAATTAACAAAAAAACACTATTTATCCACCTTACTTTTCCAGATCGGGCCCCGGTTCCGGACCCAGCGTACCCGCCCAACCATGAGACGATCCCCTACTCGTCTCCCACATTTTGTCCATTAGATGGCCATCAGCCTGTGCCGGCTGTTATGCCAACTCTCCCCAACGAAGAAAATTTAACCGGACACTTCTCTCATCAGATACGGTATATAATTGCTTGCGTTTTCTTAAAGTGTATAACAATTATCATTGCTTATGGCATTTAGCTTTGCAGCTATTTCGAGTCTCATACGAGTGGATATTTGGTTAGCTTCACAGGTGCGTATAATGGTTTGTGCATTTTTATAATTATTGGCATAAATATTTCTTTTATTTCTTTCTAATTTGCACGAGGTATCCGTTCAGATGAAATAATATTCATGCACGTGAACGTTTCTTCCCCGGGTGCGTAATAATGTTGCATATTTTTATTTATACTTATGGACAAGGTGTATTAATGCCTAAATTTTTCTCTTATCTTCTAGAATTCCTTTTTTTTTATTTTTAACAGCACTAAATGGAACAGGCGACGAAATTCTACAAAGATATTGCTAGTCGCCGCAAATGAAAACATGCACGGAGGCAATTTAGAGGCAATCGTTGCGCCAATTTAGGAACAATGTGCACACACAACTACGTAAGACTGGGTATGCCACGATAATCAGTCGTGCAACAGGTAGGTGATATAAATTGTATTAAATCGCTTACTCTGCCTAAAGAGCTCTCTAGGGGTGGTAAGGGGCGATATAAATGGGTAATTCCAATTAGGTAAGTATGTGAGCATAGTTCGCGCAAGTGTTAATTTTAAATTTTTATCTTTTACAGGCGCTGATGCATCACCTTTGGAGTTTCCTTCACCGTTCGCACTATAAAGTGAAACTCGGCGTAAGTGCCTATGTATGTATAGATATGATTTATAAATACAAAAAAAACTAAATTTAACGACAAAAAAAATCTGTTCTTTTTCAGGGAGTACGGTCAGGAGTCTCCATCATTTCTCTGCCAAGGGCTCAAACGAGGATGGGCAAAATGGAACGGACTCACTCGGAGGATGTGGGCGTGGTCTCGCCTGCGGCCGCTTCTTCGTTGTTGGCGTCTGATCGTTGGTGGCTCGTCTCGTCGCCTTCAGGGTTGCGCCGACGCTTGGCTGGCGGCGTCGCGGATATGGCTGGTGTGCGCTGCTGAGCCGATTCCTGGCTTTTGGTATGTTCGTGGGCTTCTCTGGTGCGGGAGCTGGTCCTTTTGTTGCCGGAGCCATTAATTTTTATTTCCTTTTTTTTTTGTTCGTTTCGTCGCACTTAAGTTTTAAGTTTTTCTTTTGCAATACGTTAGCACATACTTATTAAGCAATTGACTAATAAAGAAACACCGTCAAAAACAAATGTATGTACCTTGATTTTTTTCTTTTTGGTTAAGCACATGCTTCGTGGCCGGCAAAAAAACATATCCAACATCCCAAAATTCTTAACTACGAGCCGGTACGTTCGCTGTGGACCGCTGATAAAATCGAACTCTCTTTACATTTGGGCAGCAACATCATCGG